CGCAGTCGCTCTCTGGGTGCTCAGGACCCATCGTGGCAGCGTTGAGGACCCGCGGCTCCACGGCGAACGCCGTCTCGGCCATGCGCCGCGCGTCCTTGGGGCCGGAGAGCCGCTCTAAAGTGCTTTCTTCTATCGTCTCCATGGCGGAGGCGTCCCAGGTGGCACCTCTGGGGGCCGCGGTGATGTTTCGGAGGTCGAGGGAGCTCCTGGCATCTGCTCGGTACGGAGCCGTCTTGAACTCCAGGCAGTCTTCGGTGGTGGAGCTGCAAAGAGGATTTGGGGGTTAATAATGGGATTAAATGAACGTTTCCCTGGCCACGGCACCAAAGGTGGTGCCGTGGCCAGGGGAACTGGGACGGCCCTGATGGGAACTGGGGGTAACTGGGATGGCCCTGGGGGGAACTAGGAGAGCTCAGAGGGGAACTGGGATGGCTCTGATGGGAGCTGGGGAGGAACTGGGATGGCTCTGAGGGAAACTGAGGAGGAACTGGGATGGCCCTGGCATGAACTGGGATGCTCCAAGGGGTAACCAGGGGGGAACTGGGATAGCCCTGAGGGGAACTGGAGGGGAACTGGGATGGCAGTGAGAAGAACTGGGAGTAAACTAGGATGGCTCCGAGGGGAGCTGGGATGGGTCAAGGTGGAACCGGGGAAGAACTGAGATGCTCCCAGTTAGGGTTTCATGTCACTGGAGCCCCATCAGCTCCACACCCCTTGGGAACTTACCCCAGTTCGCTGCTGTGAGCCGCGGGGACGGCACCGGAGAGACCGGGATGGGGCTCATCTGCAACAGAGAGGAAAGCTCCACAGTCAGGGTCTGAATTTAGGCTTTTCCAAGGCAATTTGCAATAAATCAATGATTTTTGGGGGTTAAAAACACTTTTCCAGCAGCTCAAACCCCCTCGGCTGCTGCTGCCCTGCGGATTACGCGAGGATTTCCCAGCCGCGCTTAAGAGGGTTTTAATCCTGCACGCCTCCGTCCGATGTTTCACCGTCCCCATGGCTTTAACGGGAAGATGCGGCCAAATGGATGGACCAGGGGTTCCCCTGGCTCAGGGGGTGCACCCTTGGACCGGGGTTTTGGGGTTTCTCAGGACGTTGAGGCAGCATTTGGGGTTTGGAGGAGTTTGGCTTTGCTCCAGCGTTGGTTGAAGCCCCACGATGGCTCCTGGGCGAGTGAACATCTCCTGAAGATGTGCAGAGCCTCACTGAACCTGGATAAACCCTTCCTCAACCCTTCCCCAGGAGCAGGAGAGCCTTTGGCCTCAGACGATGAAGACATTGGGATCAAAACTGCCTGGGCCCAGGGGCTCCATCAGCTGGGGATGAGCTCAGGGCAGGACGTGGGGTCGGATCCCCCAGATCCTGGTCTGGCCACGCTGGTTCCAGCTGTGAACCAGCCCTGGACAAGTGAGATTGGTGCTGGAACAAGGAATTGTCCCAAGTCTCTGCTCTCATCATCACCATCATCATGGGTCAAGGGCAGTCCTGCAGCTTGGCCGCAGGCAAGCAAGGTTGGTGCTGGGACAAGGAATTGTTCAACATCTCTGCTCCCATCACCATCACCATCATCACCATCACCTTCTTGGGTCAAGGGCAGTCCTGCAGCTTGGCTGAAGACAAGCAAGGTTGGTGCTGGGACAAGGAATTGTCCCATATCCCTGCTTCCTTCACCATCACCACCATCATCTTGGGTCATCATCATCATCACCACCTTGGGTCATGGGCAGTTCTGCAGCCTGGCCCCAGGTAACCATGACTGCTGCTGGGACAAGGAGTTGTCCCACATCCCTGGTCCCATCACCATCATCATCATCTTGGGTCACGGGCAACCCTGCAACCCAGCCCCAGGCAAGCACAGTGGCTGCTGGGACAAGGAATTGTTTCCCATCACTGGTCCCATCATCACCATCATCCTCTTGGCTCATCCCCACCACCACCACCATCATCTTGGGTCAAAGTTCTGCAGCCCAGCCCCAGGAAACCACGACTGCTGCTGGGACAAGGAGTTGTCCCACATCCTTGGTCCCATCATCATCGTCACCATCATCTTGGGTCATGGGACGAGAGTTGCCTGGGGCTCACCAGCTGGTGAAAATAACCAGGAGGCCACGGGCAGGACGTGCCCACACCTCGATGGAGGGCGCAGACCCAGCCCAGACCAAGCGTGGGGGGCTCCACGGAGGGGAGGGACGTGCAGGAGGCAGCTTAGACCCAAAGAGCCTTTGGGATGGAGCAGGATCAAGCTTCAAAACCTGGAAAGGGAATGGGAAGAGCTTTGGGAAGACCCAGGAGAGCCTCTACAGCCCAAAATTGCCCCTGTCCCCTCCAGGATGGCAACAACCACTCGCATTTTGGGTTTATTCTACGGCTTACTGCACCCGTGTCCTAAAACCAGGAGGAACGCGGTATTCGGGCCCCTGCGGTGGTGACGGAGACAGGGGAGGCCGAGCTGAACCTGCCCCAAAAGCCAAGGTTGGCTTCAAACATTTTTAATGACCCCCATTGGAGGCGAGAATTTGAATGTTAAGCAGCTCCAACGCGTTGATCTCATCCAGAGATGACGGGGTTGGAGATATTTAATTTAAATGTAAAGATGGGACCATCTGGGGTTTATCCAGCCTGGTCCTGGTGAGGTGGTTCCCAAATCAGGTCCTTTTGGCCTCAAAATCATCGTGGAAAAAGGCCGGTGGGATCTGAGGCGTTCGTTCAGGAAAGGTTGAGTCACCAAACGGCTGAGGCGGGGGAAAAAATGGGGGAAAACCCCCAAATTGGCTGATTTTTAAACAAACTTCTCAGCCCCAATCGCCGTGAAAGGCCACAGGCAGGAGATTTTCAGGGACGCCTTTGTTCTCCAAAGCTCGGGCCCGGCTCCTATTTTTAGCAGCTGCCTCCTTTAGAGGAAAAACACGCGGTGATTTATCTCTCTCCTGACGAGCGCGTAAAGCAAATCCCGGTTTCTTGGAAACGGCGAGAGATTGAGGGAGTTTTCACGTCCTGGATTTGGGAGGCTCAAATTTACCCTCTATGGTAACGCAGCAAGAGCTGCTCCTTCAACCGCAGCAGCGCAGCGACTCCTAAATTCATTTCTGAGCCCTCAATCCTCCACTGTTTCCTCCTCTCTGATTTTCCTCTATGCCAACAGCTAAAACAACCCGTTTCAACCGCAGCAGCGCGGCGACTCCTAAATTCATTTCTGAGCCCTCAACCCTCCACTGTTTCCTCCTCTCTGGTTTTCCTCTATGCCAACAGCTAAAACAACCCGGCTGGGACACGGAGACACGTCCAAAATCGAGCCATCGGTGGTCAAAACGCACACAAAAACACCAGAGATAAGGGCAAAGGTGGGAGTTTTGCCCCATGGGAGAGACTGGGAGCTCTCCCAGACGCGGCTGACCTAGGTGAGTTAATTACGTACAGCGATGGTTAATCACGTAGGGAGATCATTAATCACGTACGGCGTTTCAAAGGTCACAGATTGAGAAATACCAACGGCGCCACAAGAGCTCGTCAAGGCCGTCAGGGTTGATAAGCGGGGGTTAACGGCACGTTTGAGACACTCGCTAGCCTAACAAAATGCAAACTGTTTGGCCTAAATCTTCACCACCAGGAAGCGCCTCGAGGACGCGTCAGGAGGCGACGGAGACGTTGGTAGAGCCAACGTCCAGTGAAGCCAACCCAACCCAACAAAGGCCTCCAGCCAACTGGAGGACGCAATGGATGGAGCTGGGGGGATTTTACTTCAAGATGAGACCGTGAGCGTGCTGCTGATTGGAGGGCGTGGGGAAGGCAAAGCCAAACTCCTCCTGGGTATGGACAGGGAGAGGTCACAACACGGGGAGCTCTTTTTTGGGACAGGCGTGGGGGAATCTCCAGTCTTGGAGAGGCCCAGAACTCAACTCAATGGGGCAACCGAATTTTGACGTTGGCTCTCCTCTGAGCACAGGGATGGGGTGAAGACCTCTGGAGGGTCCATATAACCTCAATTATTTGGTGATTTTCAGATTTAAAGCCCAAAGAGTCTCAAGCGAAGAGGACTTTTGGGTGGCGAGTGCCATCGAGACCGGCACAAAACAGGGAGAGGATCTCTCAAAGGGTTCAACCCAAAAGTTCCCTACTCAGCCCTCAAGAGGTGTCTGGTGACAGCCTAAAAGAGCAGAAAAGCACAAAAACGTAAAGGCAACTCTAAAATACTCTAATTCCTCAAACTTCAAGGCTCCGTTCCCTGAATACAACAGGTTTCCCTTCCATAAAACCCTCCGAGATGGAAGGAAAGGTGCCAACCCGACCTCCTGCGTCTCAAATCTCAGCGTTGGAGGAGGAGGAAGGGGACCCAGCTCCGGTGCCAACTCCAGTTGGGTCCCCATTGCACAGGGGGGGCACTTCCAAAAGTCCCGTGGACCCATGGGGTGGGCACAGACCCACAGGGTGGGCACAGACCCATGGGGTGAAGGGGTCTCCGGACTAAAGAGGCTCCTCCTGAAGGCGAGGACGCAGTTTAAGACAAAACCATGCTCTTCA